ACAGTAAGAATCACCAAGAATCCCTCACAGCCCTAGCAAGAGTTGTAAGACAGAAAGAAATAGGGAAAAGCAAAAGTGAGAAAACAAATTAAACCAAGTGTCAGGGTTTAAAACTGACACTGACTCAAATGCTCATATCATTTTTAAAAGCATGTAAAGTTCAGACCCATCCAAGATAAAAATTCATTAGAGTAGTAGTCTCTTCAGGCAGACAGAAGGGATCTACCAAAAATCTACAAGCACTCTAATGGTGAAACGTTAGTCAGTTTTTATTAAATATTATGATTCATGTATTTATTTCTCCACTTTTGTTTGGCATTATACTGGCATCAAAGCCATCAGGATAAGAGAAGGGAGCAAAATAGAGACTGTATAAGCAGTGAAACAAGAAGAAGGAAAACTTAGTATGTGTACATGTAATGATTGCTTGCGAAAACTCCTCAAAATATCTACATTAAAATTATTGAATATGAAAAAACTGTTCATTGTCTCTAGCAATTTAGATAAATGCAAATCAAAACTACTCTAAGATTTCATCTCACTCCAGTGAGAATGGCAGCTATTATGAAGACAATAATAAGTGTTGGCGAGGATGTGGGAAACAATGTACACTCATACACTGCTGGTGGGAATGCAAATTGGTGCAGCCAATATGGAAAGCAGTATGGCGAGTCCCTGGAAAACTTGGAATGGAACCACTATTTGACCCAGCTATCCTCTCCTCGGTCTCTACCCAAAGGACTTAAAATCAGCATACTACAGAGACACAACCACATCGATGTTTATAGCAGTACAATTCACAATAGCTAAACTGTGGAGTCCACCTAAATGCTCTTCAGTAGATGAATGAATAAAAAAAAAAGTGGCATATATACACAATGGAATATTACTCAGCAATAAAAGAGAATAAAATCATGGCATTTTCAGGTAAATAGATGGTGTTGGAGAAGATAATGCTAGGTGAAGTTAGCCAATCCCAAAAAAACAAATGCCAAAAGTTTTCTCCTATATAAGGAGACTGATTCATAGTGGGGTAGGGAGAGGGAGCATGGGAGGAATAGACAAACTCTAGATAGGGCAGAGGGGTGGGAGGGTAAGAGAGGGGGCATGGGGTTAGAAATGATGATGGAATGTGATGGACATCATTATCCAAAGTACATGTATGAAGACACAAATTGGTGTGAATATACTTTATATACAACCAGAGATATGAAAAATTGTGCTCTATATGTGTAATAAGAATTGTAATGCATTCTGCTGTCATACATAAAAAAAGTAGAAAAAAAATTGAGATTACCAAGAGAAGTGAATAGAAAATCGATATCAAAAAAAATCAACCTAATTTCTATATTTTGATGATAAAGAACCAAGAGATGGAATATTAAGTAGCTGTTTACAAAAGAAAAGGCATCCGCTGTTAAAGCATATAATTTTTAAATATGCAACATTTTAAAATTAGAAACTATGAAAATTTTTTGAAGGTCATTAAAAAAGGCCTAAACAAGTAGGCAAACTTTTTTTTGTGTACTGATGAGAAGACACAATCATGAGTATATCAGTTCTTTTCAAATTGTTAATCTATAAATTCAGTTTAATTATAACGAAAATCTAATGTTTTCTCATGGAACATTATAGGCTGATTTTTAAAATTTACATGGGAAAGCAAAAGATCAAACCAAGAGGCTCTTTAAAAGAATCAGGGCAGAGGGACCCTCCTCCTCCTTCACATATGAAGACATAGTGAGAAGGTGCCATCTCAAGAAACTGTCCCTCTCCAGGTGACAAATCTAATCTGCTAGTGCCTAACCTTGGACTTCCTAGCCTCTAGAACTCTGAGAATAAAGTTTCTGCTGTTTCTAAGGCCCAGTGCCCTCACATGCTGGAGGGGAATGGGGTCTCTCTGAGGTTTCTTTTACGTGGGTACTAATCCCATTCATAAGGGCCGTGCCTCATGCTCTCCTCATCTCCTAATACTGACACCTTCAGGGTTAGTTTCTACATTTGAATTTAATGGGCACATAAATGTTCATACTAGAATAATTTCCCACTGACACCACCAATCAATGAAGATCACAGGCTCTCTCTAGTACTCTTCTCCAACTTGGTCTTCTGGGCTCCTTCCATTGCACAACTCCACACCCCTGGGGCTCTTTGCTCCAGCCCCAGGATGAGAGGAAGCACAGTGTATGAAGACACTCTGCTCTTAACTCCCACCCTCATCCCTGCTGGCTGAAGCTCAGGAAGGAGGTCTCAACACCGCCCGGGTTCGATCCTCAGCACCACATACAAACAAAGATGTTGTGTCCGCCGAAAACTAAAAAATAAATATTAAAAGTCTCTCTCTCTCTCTCTCTCTCTCTCTCTCTCTCTCTCTCTCAAAAAAAAAAAAAAAAAAAAAAAAAGTCCATGATAGATAAATAGACATAAGAAAGAAAGAAAGGCTGGGATGTTGCTCAGTTGTAGAGCACTTGCCTAGTGCTTGAGGTCCTGGGTTCAATTCCCAGCACAGGAGGAAAAAAGAAAAAGAAAAAGAAAGATTACAAATTGGTAGAAGATATTTGCAATATGTGCAACTGACAAGGAAATATTATCTAATGTATAGAAAGAAGTTATACTAGTTAATAATTACAAGAATACAAGCAAATTAATAGAAAGAAATAAGCAGATAACCTGCAGAAGCATAACACATGAGCTAGTAATTGAAGAGATAACTCTGCTTCATTAGAAAGTCAGAAAAATAAAATTAAACATCACAAGAATCTGGGCATGATGGCCACAGCTCTAATCCCAGTGGCTCAGGAAACTGAGGCAGGAGGATCACAAGATCAAAGCCAGCCTCAGCAACTTAGTGAAGCCTTAAGCAACTTAGCGAGACCCTGTCTCAAAATTAAAAATAAAATGGGCTGGGAATGTGGTTCAATGGTTAAGTGCCTCCTGTTCAATCCCTGATACAAAAAAAAAAAAAAAAAAGTCATGGGAAGATTTCATCCCCCAACTATTTAATTGGAAATTTTAATTTGACAGCATGAGGTGTTAGCAAGAAGAAGCAACAGGAAATCTTTTCCACCACCACTGAAGATGTCCATTGATACAGATAGTTGAAGGACTCATTGGACACTGTGAAATTAGCATTGTGTGTGCCTCATGAAATAGCAATTCCACTTGTAGGGAAATTCTTGTAGTCTGTGGACCACATATGGCTAGATACTCCATAAGAGGATAATATTTTTAAAATATTACTTTTAGCTGTAGTTGGACACAATACCTTTATTTTACTCATTTATTTTAAGGTGGTGCTGAGGATCGAACCCAGGGCCTCACATGTGCTAGGCCAGTGCTCTACCGCTAAGCCACAACCCCAGCCCCCAGAGGATAATCTTGAAAATACACTGTTAGTGAAAACAAGATTCAGTAGAATTCATAAAGTATATCATTTTCATAAAGTTAAATCAAGTAAATATAAGTTTACTGTCTAAGAATCTACACACACAAGAATCCATATGTGTGTTAAAGCATCTACACTCTGTTGCCAGACACAGTGGTGCATGCCTGCAACCCCACCCACTTCAGAGGCAGAGGCAGGAGGAATAAGACTTCAAAGCCAGCCTCAGCAACTTAGTGAGGGCCTAAGTAAGTTAGTGAGATCCTGTCTCAAAATATAACAAGGGCCGGAAAGTACCCTGAGTTCAATTCCTGGTACCAAAAAGAAAGAAAGATAAAAGGAAAGAAGGAAAGCAGAAGAGTCTATACTGTGAATAAAAGCAAAGGAAAAAGTAAAACTGAAAATTTAGGAAGGTAGACACCTTTACATCGGAGGGGGGTTGAGGAGGAAGGAGCACACGGTGAGATTCAAGGGTGCCAATAAAGTTGGATTTCTTAAGCAGGTGATGGGTTCATAAACATTTATTCTCTAATACAATAAGCTACTGTCAGCATACATTTTCTCTTCTGTATCAAATAATCTATTTGTTATTGACTTAATAATTATACATATTAATGAGGTACAGTGAGATGCTTTGATAACATGTATATCAAATAATAATCAGGTTATTTAAGGTATTCATCTTTTCATACATTTATCATTTCTTTGTGATGAGAACATTAAAATCTTCTCTTTCTGCTATTTTAAAAACACTCAACCCAACATAGTCACCCTACTGCAACAGAACACTGGAATTTATTCCCTATTTCTGTCTGTCATTGTACCTGTTGAGTAGTATTTTCCCATCCCTTCCTCTTCCCACCTGCTGGTAACCCCTCTTCTACTCTCATCTGAGATCAGCTTCTTTAGATTCCACAGATGGGAAAGATCATGCAATTCTTACCTTTCTATGCCTGGCTGATTTCATTTATTGTAATGTCCTCAGGTTCTTCCACGTTGCCACCAATGACAGGATTTCATTCCTTGTAGGACTGAATATTCCACTGTGTCTATGTACCACATTTTCTTTATCCATTCATGCATTGATGGACACTTAGATGGATTCCATGACTATTGTGAACAGTGCCACAATAAACCTTGGAGTGCAGGTATCTCTTCCACATACCGATTTCATCTCCATTGTGTCTATGCCCAATAAAAGGATTGCTGGATCTTCTGGTAGTTCTATTTTTAATTTTTTTTGAGGTGCCACCATATTATTTTCCATAATGGCTTTACTAATCCACATTCCTACTGATAGCATATGAGTTCATCTTTCTCCACTTCCATGCAAAATAAAAATTATTTTGTTATTTTTTTTCTTTTCCATACAGAGAGAAGTTAGTACTCTGCAAACTGAACCCCACTCAAGAGAGCTGTTGATTTTGCAATTGCTTAGGAATAGAAAGAATGAGAAGATATTCTCTTTTTATAAGTCCTCTATCTTTCTAACATTTTTAAATTTTGTTTTCTTTTTACAGTTACCTAGAAGCTCCTCTGGTATCATTTTTAAAAGATGGATATTTCATTTCCACACTTTTATTTAGCATCAAAATCCTGTTTTGCTTTTTCCCCCCAGTGGCCAGGTTTTATCTGCTCTTCCTAGAACCTCTAGACAAGTTCAAGTTCTTCAGAATCTTACTACAACCTATGAGGTAACTTCTCCCTTATTTGTGCCTATATTGGTAGCATTTTGTATGCCATTGTATGCCACATCATTCCCTCCTACATTCTGTCTCACTTTTTTGCACTCCTTTCTCATAAGCTTCACCCTTCTCTTGAATACACGACTTTGTTGGTTCCAAAATTGAACCTTCATTTGTGCTCTTGACTTTTCAGCCAATTTCATGTTAGTACTCTGTGGTTGAAAGTGTATCCTTACAAAGCCACTACAGTAAAAGATATTCAATAGAATTTTGCTTATAAATTGGTGGTTCTTAACCAAGGAATAAGCATGAAAGAGACAGGGAACAATTTATTAAAATACATGGAACACATCTCCCAGAATGTCTAAGGTTTTGAAAATTGACAGGAGTCAGAAAACAACATAGTAAAAAACTGGTGGCTCCATAGTTGTTGGTATTCTCTGAGAAATAGAGGTCAGACTAGATTCAAAGTATGAGCCATAAAAGGAATGTTTGCTAAAGATAAAGGGGAGGGAGCTGAGATGGCAGGGACACCTGCAGACCTGATGCCTTCTGAAGCTTCTGCAGGCAGGATGATCTTGCATGGAGGATCTAGGCTGCAGAGGAGTTCCAAGGAGAACTGGGTGTGGGGACAGGGGTGAGTCCTTTAGCCAAATTGCCTATTGTAAGAGCCCTGTATCTGGGAGGAATGGACCTGGGTGAACATACCCACAGTGCAGTCACTGCAGCACTGGGCAGTGTGGCCTCAGACTATGGGAATCACCAGGGTTGGCCACTGGAAACACCAGTTACCAGCAAAAGAGCTGAATGGCACATATTCACAGCCACCACACCAGGATAAAGAAGAACTACTACTAAAGAAATCATCAGAGACTTTATTTTTTTTTATTTTTTTTAAGAGAGAGGGAGACAGAGCGAGAGAGAATTTTAATATTTATTTATTTTTTCTTAGTTCTCGGCGGACACAACATCTTCGCTTGTTTGTGGTGCTGAGGATCGAACCCGGGCCACACGCATGCCAGGCGAGCGCGCTACCGCTTGAGCCACATCCCCAGCACTCATCAGAGACTTTAGAACTTTATTTCTTGTTCTACTATTTGGTGGATGGTTTTAGAGAAATTAGCTACAAGCCTTAATGCTGTCTGAACAACAAAAAACAATAACAGATGATGCCTAGTTTATATCAAAGTAGTATTATAATGATCAAAGGAAATGAGTTTGAAAGTGCTTTGAAAAAAATATACCATTTTAAAAAGTAAATAGCTGGGCATGGTAGTACATGCCTGTAATCCTAGAGACTCGGGAGGCTGAGATAGGGGGATCTCAGGTTCAAAACCAGCCTCAGCAAGTTAGCAAGGCTCTAAGCAATTTAGTGAGACCCTGTCTCAAAAGAAAAAATAAAAAAGGGCTGGGGTGTGGTTCAGTGGTTAAGTGCTCCTGGGTTAAATCCCCAGTACCAGGAGAAAAAGAAAAAGAAAAAAATGATTGAGAGTAAATATTATTGAGATTAAATGTTCAAAGACCTTAATTAGATTAAAGGAACGCTGACATGGTAATAATATTAAGTACATGGAATTTTTATTAGATTAGATTAACATTTAGTCAACTTTGTTTCAAGACAAAATTTTCATTTTTCCTTTAAACATCTGACATACACATCAGATATTTGAGTTATAAATATGTCCATTTTTCCATTCATTGTCTCACTGAATATTTATTGAGTATCTGGTAGGTTTAAGGCTCTCCTTAGCAACTAGAGTTAATGAGAAGAATAAAAGCAACTCCCTGCAAAATGGGCATGCATATTATCATGTGTATAGACGTTGTCCTTTTCATGTCCCTTTTATAGACACCATCTTTACGACTCTGGCTACAGATGAGGATGATGTGAACAACTCTTTGACTTTATTATTCTTTCTCCTCTCCCCAAAACTTCAGATTGTTCTCTGGCAGCCAGTAACTGCTGAATTTATTGCAAAGAATAAAGAAGTCCATTTTTTTGTTAATGCATCTGATGTAAGCAATGTGAAAGTCCATTTAAATGCCAGCAGAATTCCATTCAGGTAGGCACCATTTGGTACGTATTAAATAGCAATTACAAGCACGAATTATGCATTTGACTAGGAGGTGGAATATCTGCTTCTTGGAAAAATAAAATACATTCAACATGGCAGCATGGAAAGCTCTGAAATGGGCTGATGGTAAAGCCCAAGGCCTGGCTTTGTGACACCCTCTCATAAGCCTGGTCCTTTATTTGAAATGAAGGTTAGACTCAATGATCTGTAGAGCCTCTTACCATTTCTCTCTCTGGGATTGCTCTGTGCCCAGACCTGGGGCATAAAATGGTCATTTACCATAGTGATCCTAGGTTTTGTGAATCTCTTAAAAGAGCTGCTGCTGAGGAGGATTTAGCTTTCACTAATTCTTCCTTAACAATGTCAGCGAACCTTTCTGAATATCTGGCCCGGAACTCGAAAGTGTACCCGATCCTCTGACTCCGAGGAAAACCTGGGTTGGAGTCTGGCAATGCCGCTTATCCTCCTCTGTGACCATGTAGGAATTACATGTGCCTTGGCTAATTTTGTAAATTAGATTTTTTTTTAAAAAGCATCTACCATGTAGATTAATTGATTTAAAAAAATTTAAAGTATATCAGGTGTTATTTCTGTTCAGAGTCTGTTCCCTGTTCCTTTGCTTCTCCTGTCCAACCTCTCCTCTTTATATCCTCTGCCCACCTGCCAGTAGCCTCCCATTGTCCCCGTGACTTCCTTGAGACCATGGTGTCTTCTGGGTATCAGGCTCTGGATAATATGCTGTAATAATTATTACTACTATATCACAGGTGTTTACTACCTTCTAGGAACTTGCAAAACATTTAATTCTTAAATAAGAATTATTTTACTCTGTTAGGGAAATATTTTCTCCAATAGGCAGATTTTCAAAAATCTTATGAATAAAGAAATTTCTCAAAGTCAGCCAGCTGAAAAATGGCAGAGCTAGAAGTCAAACTGAAACCTTTTTGGTGTCAAAAGGTTAGCTTTTGTCTATTGACTTAAATAAAAGTAGAGGGCTGGGGTTGTGGCTCAGTGGTAGAGCGCTTGCCTAGCATGCTCGAGGCCCTGGGTTCGATCCTCAGCACCATATAAAAATAAATAAACAAAATAAAGGTATTGTGTCTAACCAAAAAAAAATATAAATCTTTAAATAAAAAAATAAAAGTAGAGAAGCCTTTATTAACGTGATAGCTAATTTCAAACCGTCCATCCCAGGTGATAGAATGCTTTAATTCAGTTCATGTGTTTGCCTAGGTGATAGATGAAGCAAGATCCTTTTCCATCTTTTCTTTTCCTATACTTCTATTTCTCAAGACATTTGGGTCAACTTTGGCAACAAAACATCTGGCACATGTTAATGAAAAACAAGAAGGAAAGGTATTCTGCTTCTCCTTGATCCTTAACTGAAAACAGTAGGGGATATTACAATTGTATATTCACATAAAAGACACTGACAAATTGCAATCAAGAAATGTAGATCTGGGCGGTGGCGCCCGCCAATAATCCTAGCAGCTCCGGAGGCTGAGGCAGGAGCATCTCGAGTTCAAAGTCAGCCTCAACAATAGCGAGGCGCTAAGCAACTCAATGAGACCCTGTCTGTAAATAAAATACAAAATAGGGCTGGGGTTGGAGCTCAGTGGTTGAATGCCCTGAGTTCAATCCCCAAAGGAATAAAAGAAATGTAGAGCAGAGCACGGTGGTGCACACCTGTAATCCCAGCGGCTAGGGAGGCTGAGGCAGGAGGATCTCTAGTTCAAAGCCAGCTTCAGCAATTTAGCGAGGCCCTAAGCAACTCAGCCAGAGACTCTGCCTCTAAATAAAATATTTTAAAGGTCTGTGAAGTAGAAAAACACAAAAAGGGGGGCTGGGGACGTGGCTCAATGGTTAATCCCCCCCCTTCAACCCCC